CAAATATTTATACTGTATTTACCATTTGCAGCTATACTTTCAGCAAATTTACTATTCATAGCTATATTAAAATTTTATAACAAATCTATGAAATAAAAGATTAATTGTATTGAATTGAAGCAAGAAAGCAACAAGCTCTCGTAGCTTAGTTGGTTAGACCGCCTGATTAGTTAGCAGAGGTCTTGAGTTCGACTCTCAATAAAAATATTTTTATTTTGTATTTATATGTTTCACTTTAATTATATTCGTTGCACGAATAAATACAGTCGATACATGTTGTATCCTTTGTATATGCTCACGTACAAGTTGTATCTTTTACATATACCCTTGTATTCCGCCTTGGTTACAATTGATACATATTGTATTCGTTGCACAAATGAATACAATTGCGTGAACGAATACAGTTAATACACTTTGTATTCTTTATGCGGACGAATATAGTTGACATAGGCTGTATTCGTTACACACTTGAATACAAGTGATACGAGTTAGTAACAATTGAAGAATAACTACAAATAGTAATTAACCAAATTATAGTTCTGTTCCAATAAAACATTTCTCAAAATGGAAACAGGAAAAGGTCAAGTATATATATCTCTCTACTATCGAAAATTATTTAAACATATCATTCGTTATACTGTTTGGTCATTTCAAACCATACCGTAATACTATGAAATGAATTTGCCCTTACTTTTAACGGAGGGCCACGTATCAGCTACTCTCTCCGTTTCATATTAAATTAGGTACTTTCCTTTTTAGTCTGTTCCAAAACAAATGACACATTTTTAAATTTGGAAATAATTCAACTTTAAACTCTTTCATTTTACCAATTTACTCTTAATGATAAGCTTTTATAGTCACACAAATGTCATGACGCCACAAACCTTTTACCCCTTAAACTTTTAATACCACAAGTTTCAAAAGTTTCTTCTTTTTCCTTAAATTTCATGCCGAGTCAAACTAACTCATCTAATATGAAACGGAAGGAGTACTTGTTAAAAGACCCATGCCCCATTAAAATATTCGATCCCTTAAAAGGTTTTTACCCGTAAACCCGACCCGAAATCCTTCGATTAATTTCATCCTTTTCAACACCAAAGTCATTAGAAGTTTCCTCAAGTTCAGCCGCCGCCGAACTCTGAAAGCGGAGATTAGTCTTGAGCTCTCTCACGAACCAAACGTTGGAAAGCTCAGTCGATTTCTGGTACTTGCAAATTTTACGGAGCGTCACTGTACCTAGCCCTAATCTGTGAGGCTTCTTCACTCCTCCGGTAGCCGGAGCTGACTTTCTAGTTACTTTTCTTGCTAATTGCTTCTCTGAGATTTCCTTCTGGTGGATTTTCGGGCAATTTGTTTTGTACGAGCCATTTGGGAATTAAAAGTTTAAGGGATTTGGCTGAGAGAGTCATTGGATTTGTGACGGATTTTGAGTTTGGAATGTGATGCCGCCTTAGTATCCTCCTTCGGAGAGATATTTAAGCATAATCACCAAGAATTTCAATGTTTGGCTTTAAAATCTTGAATTCCTAGTTAGAATTAGCAATGACATACATCATATTGGGCAATTTTTTCCACCGCCGCCACTACCACCAGCATGGCTGCATTCTAAGAACTTGGGAAGTCCAAAAACTTCAGCTTTAGTAATTTCTTTAAGAACTGTATATCAGATTTTTTTTCCCACAATTTTCGCCGGTGAAGGTACAGTAAAAAGCAAAGTGAAGAAGATGAAAGAACCCATTGTTTGTGAAACAGTAATTATCTTGAATGATTTACATTGACAATTACAAGTGGTATTTATAACATGTAAAATAATATAAAGACTAAATTATCCTTCTAGCTATACAAAATATATCTATCATTCCCCCTCAAGCGATGCTAGGTCTTGACAAAATACTGAGCTTGTCACGCAAGAATGAAAATCGAGGATAGGGAAGAGATTTCGTCAGTAAATCTGTAAGTTGGTCCGAACTTGGCACATAGCGAACTTGTATTGCACCGGATGCGACCTTTTCTCGAACAAAATGAATGTCAATTTCAATATGTTTGGTGCGAGCGTGATGGACAGGATTATGAGCTAAGTATATACTACTAACATTATCACAGTAGATTGTTGAAGGAGACAATAGTGGAATATGGAGATCATTAAGAAGAGAGAGCAACCAACAAATTTCAGTAGCATGGGCGACAGAACGATATTCTGCCTCAGCGCTCGAGCGTGATACAACACTTTGCTTCTTGGAAGACCAAGAAATAAGATTATTGCCAAGAAAGATACAATATGCCGAGGTAGATCTGCGTGTGGTGGGGCAACCTGCCCAATCTGCATCAATATAACAAGTTAACGAACCAACTGGACCACCTGGAATGAACAAACCATGATTTATAGAACCACACAAGTAACATAAAATACGTTTTACTGCAGTAAAATGAATGTCCAAGGGAGAATGCATGAACTGAGCTACTTGACTAACAACGTAGGCAATATCTGGACGAGTAAAAGTTAAGTATTAAAGTCCACCGACAAGACTACGATGTAATGACGGATCAGAAAAATGAGGAGAGGTATTAGAAGCAAGTAGAGATTTAGGAGAAAGGGGAGTATTAACTGGTTTACAAGATAGGAGATTTGCACATTCAAGAAGATCATGAATGTTCTTGGATTGGCTAAGAAAATAACCACCCTTACATGTTGAAACAGAAATTCCAAGAAAAAAATTGACTAAACCTAGATCCCTCATAGAGAATTCAGCCATAAGGGTTTTAATTATAGACTTAAGTAAAGAGCTAGAAGATGAAGTTATAAGGATGTCATCCACATATAAAAGAAGAATGACTATGTCTGAAGCAGATTTGTAAATGAAGAGAGAATTATCGGAAAAACTATTTTTAAAATCATGTTTGAGAAGAAATAAGGTGAACCGATGAAACCATGCTCTTGGAGCCTGTTTTAAGCCATAAAGGGCCTTGTTCAACCGGCAAACATGATGTGAAAATTGCGGATGAACAAAATCAGTAGGTTGTTTCATATATACCAGTTCATTTAGAGTGCCATGTAGGAAGGAATTCTTAACGTCTAATTGATAAATTGCCCACCCTTTAGACGCCGCTAGAGCAAAAACAATTCGGATGGTGACTGATTTCATCACAGGACTAAATGTTTGGTCATAATCTAGTCCATATTTTTGATTGTAACCTTGGGCAACCAGGCGAGCCTTATACCGGTCAAGGGAGCCATCAGATTTTTGTTTTACTTTGTAGACCCATCCACAACCGATGACGTTTGCATTAGTGGAAGGCAATACCAAGTCCCATGTGTTGTTGGCTATAAGGGAGTTGTATTCCTCTGCCATTGCTCTTTTCTAGTTTGAGTTCTTGTTAGCTTCAGTAAATGAGGTGGGTTCAGAAGGAAGAGAAGATAGGGATGGGAGTGTAGATGTGTGGGATATTAAAGAAGGACGAAGACTTTTTGGTTTTAACTTTCCAGTTTGAGCTCGGGTGACCTTGGGATGCAGTTTAGAACTTGATGAAGGTAATTGAAGAGATGTAGACTGTGTAGGTAAAGTACTAAAAAAAATAGGAGACCTTAGGGAGTGAGAAAGGGAATTAAGAGAAGTCACGTTTTGTGTGTGAGTTACTGAAGGATCTAGCCGTGGATTTGGAACCTGAAAAGTAGGAAATTGAGGAGAAGAAAGATTAAAAGAATTATTTTGACATCCATAATTTGTAAGAGGAGATATCTTTTGTTGTAATCTAGAAGAGAAGGCAAAGGAGAAGTCCTAGGTGAAGTAGTAGACGTAATTGGTTGAGAAATAGATAAGGGAGAAGTTGGAAAGTTCAAAAGAGATAGAGAAGTAGTAACTGGAGATGAAATACTATGAAATTGATCTAAATTTGAATTATGTCCAGCAGTAACAACATGATTATGTTGACGGAAAGGAGTCCAAAAATTATGTGAAGAAAGATTAGGAACTAGCCTAGAAGGTGTAAAAGCTCTAGAGGACTCTTTAGGAGGAGCCACACCTAAAAAGAAGATTGAGTCCGAGATGGAGAAGAACTAAAAGCTGGCAGCAGTGATGTTACGTTAGGATAAGTACTTGGAGTTGGAGCTAGAGTAGGAGAAATATTTGGAGTTATAGTAGGACAAATATTTGGAGATATAGCAGAAGGCGTTAGAATGGGCAAAGATAAGGATGATGGGGATTTAAAGGAAGAGAAACAGTTATCTGGAGATATATACTTGGAAATTAGGGAAGGATAAGGAAATGAGTCTTCTTGAAAAATAACATGACGAGATATATACACCTTATTTTCTAAAGGATCAAAGCACTTAAACCTTTATAATTAGAAGGATAACCAAGAAAAATACAATGTCTAGACCTAGGACTTAACTTATGTGGTGCATAATCGCGAAGATTAGGAAAACAAGAACAACCAAATACACGTAAATGGTTATACGTAGGTGGCCTACCAAAAAGAAGTTCATACGGAGTTTTAAAGTTAAGCTTAGAAGAAGGTAAAATATTTAAGAGATGGACTGCGGTATTCAGTGCTTCGACCCAAAATTGAGATGGAAGAGAAGATTGAAAAAGTAAAGATCGAACCATATTTAGAATAGTATGGTGCATTCGTTCCGCTTTGCCATTTTGTTGGTGAGTATGTGGACACGATATGCGAAGACAAACACAATTTGAATTTAAAAATTCACGAAAGGAAATAAGTTTAACATATTCTGCAGCTCCATCACATTGTAGTAATTTAATTTTAACAGAAAATTGAGTTAAAACATAAGAATAAAAGTTTTTGAATGTATGATATGCTTCTGATTTGCGTCGAAGTGGAAACACCCATGAAAATTTAGTAAAATCATCATGAAATAAAATATAGTAACGAAGACAATTGGGGAGGTCCAAATATCAGTATGAATCAATTCAAATGAAGAGGTAGAAGAAGATGTAGAATCCTTAAATGGTAATTTTATGTGCTTGCCAAGTTGACAAGCATTACAAAGAAAATCCAATCGCTTTTGCTAAAGAACATTGCAAATTATTGCTTCTAACTAAATTAGAAAGAACAGCTAAACTAGGATGGCCTAGACGACGATGCCACAGAGTTGGAGAAGCATATGAGACAACAAAAGCTTGATGAGCAGCAATTCCAGGAGTAGATGGAGAGAATGAATAAAGAGGACCCAAACTATTGCACCTGAGAAGAATTCTCTTCGTCTTGTAGTCCTTAATAGAAAATCCAAAGGCATCAAAGTCAATCGAACAATTATTATCAGAAGTGAATTTACGAACACTTAATAAATTACAAGAAAGAGTAGGAACAACTAAAATATTTTTGAGAGAAAAGGTAAAAGAATGCGTAGAGAAATTACCATTACCAGTATAAGAGATTGGGAGCTGATTACCATTACCCACCATAACACTATCATTACCATTATAAGGTTGAATGGAAGAGAGATTTGAAGTAGTAGGTGTCATGTGTGAAGAGGCTCCAGTGTCAACATACCATTGAGGACTACTTGGAGGAGTATAGGAATGCGCAGAGGATGAAGATTGAAGATCTGAAAAGAGTGCTTTGGAACCAAGAGATGGACAATTTCGTGCAGTATGCGTGGGTTGAAAACATAACTGACATTGAAAGGAAGAAGGAAATGGATAAGCAGGATAAACGGAAGAAATAGTAGAGTGTGGCGCTGGACCTAAAATGGAAGGAGCCCTTTGGCGTGGAGCAAACTGGGAGGAGCAGTGGAATAACTTCTTTGGTAGCCATTGTTGTTGCGTCCTCTGGCACGCCCACCATAGGCATATCTACCACCATTAGAAATTTCTTCCACGTCCATGTCCTTGAGAAGATGAATTTTGTTTAGCTACTAAAGCAGTGGAAGATTCTGATGCGGTAGAAGAAAAGCCATTCAATTGAGTTTCATAAAGGAACAGAAGAGATCTAGCCTCAAGAAAAGTAGGAAGTGGAATCCTAGTAGAGATTGAAGTGCTAACAGAGAGATATTCAGAAGGTAGGCCAGAAAGAATTTGGAGAACAAGATCAGAATCAGAAATAGGATTACCAATTGATGTCAAGGCATCCGCAATGGATTTGAGGCGATGCACATAATCAGCAATAGAAAGGGAACCTTTCTTAAGGTTATGAAATTGAACCTTAAGTTCAAGAGTTCGGGAACTAACATGATCATGGAAAAGACGTTCAATTTGTAGCCACGCCTCACGAGCAGTAAGACTTTGGTTAGGACGGATAATTGCCTGAAGTATTTCTTGAGAAATTGTGGCTTGTATCCATGATAAAACAATAGAGTCAAGTTAGACCCATTGTTGAAAAGCTGGATTAGTAACAGAAGTTCCATCGTCCATGGTAAGAGTTGACTCCGGACATGGATAACTTCCATCAATGAAGCCATAGACACCATGTCCTTTAAACACAGGAAGAAATAATTCTCTCCAAAGCATATAGTTTTTATAATCAAGAGTGGTAGGACTCAAATTTTTGATATTGGAAACAGAGACAACAGAATGCTTAACCGAAGGTGTAACTAGAAGATTAGCCATGGAAGAAGAGGAAGGAGAAGAGGTTTGAGAACTGGATGTAGGTGAAACCATGATGATGTTGAATGGCAGAAATCTCACATCGGTGAAGTACCAATTTTGGTTGGTACTTCACCCTATAAAAGGAGGCCTAATGTTTAGGATTTATACACACCTCTCATTTGCCTTTTTATTTTCTTAAGGCATTTGTATCTTCTCTCTTTAGTATTATTTCACTTGTATTTTTGGAGTGGAATAAAATATTGGTTGTGTCCGAGGAGTAGGCAAAATTGGCTGAACCTCGTAAATTCTGGTGTTTCTTTTATTATTGCTTTATTGTCTTATTTATTATTTGGTGGCTGTCATAATTTTTGGTATAGTAGTTGTGACTTATTCACACTATATACATTTGGCTTCCGCAACAATTGGTATCAGAGCCAAGGTACTGTCTAAGTATGCTCTGTGGTTGCAGCATAGTCTGATCTTCCACATCAGAAAAGATTTATCTTGGTAACTGAGTCAAGGTTCTGTCTGAGTATGCTCTGTGGTTGCAGCTTAGTCTGATCTTCTACATCAGAAAGGAA